TACACTGTGACAAAAAAGTGTACCCTGCTAGACACGAATGGTGAGCCCTCTAGTACAAAGGTAGAATGGAGGCTTCACTCATGCACAGGCTCTAGAAAATGCAGCAGAGATCCATGTATGGATACAGCAACCGTTTCCTGGCATTGTTTGTTGCTATGCATAGCCAGCTGCTTTAAAGGTCTTCCTTTTAGGCCCAGTGGTGCATTTCCTAAGTGATTAATAAGAAGAAAAAAATACTGGCAGTTTACAAGCCAAACCTTCTCACTAACTTATTAATGTGTATTATATCTGACATTGGTAGCGTAATCATTCAATCGCATGATTGTTGTATAACCAGGAGAGAGCTGTTAATTCCAGCCCGCTATCCGGAGTAAGAGCCTCTGTTAATCAGATTTCTCGCTACCTGTCTGCAGTTGTCAGTAAGCAACTTAAAAATTCCAATCTGAGCCTTTGCTAACCCAGACTGACTAAACAGTTGGTTCTTCCTTAAGCAACAGCTGTGACACGAATTCTCAAACTGTACATGGTTGCTTATTCATGTCATATCTTTGTGTGGTTCCCAGTGGTAAGTGTTAGAGAATGGTAGTAAAAAAGTGCCGTATTTTCAGCATTAAACGTCATCTTTGATTACAATATCAGGAAAGATTAAGACGATAAAAACTATTTTGTACAAACGTCTTGATGCATTCTCAATCATCCAGGAAAGTAAAACTCCAAAAGTTAATTCTGTTCATCTGGACGTAGCGTTTTGTGGGAGAAACGTTTCGTCACTCATCCAAGTGACTTCTTCAGTCACAGCTGACTGCAGGTTTCCCCAAATCTTATAAACAGTACATTTGCATTGATACAATGCTGTGATTGCAGCCATTCCCCAACTCTCTGTGAATGGGACTCATGGCCATTGATCAGTGGGTTTTGGTCAGTGGTTGTTGATCAATGGTCATGAGAATTTGCGTAATTATGATTAAGGAACTGACCTCCCAGCCCATTGTTCCTTCAGTGGGCTGGTTTCAGTCATTATCAGCTGAGACTGAAGAAGTCACTTGGATGAGTGACGAAACGTTTCTCCCACAAAACGCTACGTCCAGATGAACAGAATCAACTTTTGGAGTATTTTGTATAAAAACTAAACCTGAGGCATAGTTGAACAATCATTTCAAAGTCAAAGCCTTCTTTTTTAAAAACTTGTAGATATGTATATTAATATTTTCTTCATTTCTTTTTTTTTTTCTCTGGAAAATGTATCCATTTTTCCCCCTGACTACTGCCACAACTTTAGGGCCTTTTTGCACATCCTCTTCCTCATTTCCGCTTCTTACATTTCTTGATCTTTTCATGTCATCACACTCTGATATTATGCCAGCCATGTATAGATTTACCGTGTATGTCCTAGATTTTGGTCTACATTTACTGACATAGAAAATTAGGTTTCCCTTTGATCACAACATCCAGATGCGTTTGTCAGTCCACATGCAAGGCATTTGATTGGTTTATTCTTTTTGTTTCAAAATATTTTCATTGAATACATCAGAAAATAGGATTTAATGTGAAAGGTAACTCGAGGG